ACCCCAGTACCAAGTCCAGTACTCTACCATGAACACTTCTAGAGATATGCAGTATAAAAGTAAATTTGTACGGGAGGTACTATGCCCCCTTTTCGAATAACGCAAATTTTTCTCCATGAGTATGGAATTAATTTTGTATACACATCTCGGTGCCAAGTTCCCGTCCTCTGCAATAAACACCTCCAGAGATATGCAGCATAGAAAAATCAATTTGCATGGGAGTTGCCACATCACCTTTTCCAATAACTCTCATTTTTCTCCATGAGTATGGTATTAGTTTCACATACATACATACATATGTATTTCCATACCAACCTTGAGTATTTTACCCCAAACATTTGAAGGGATATGCAATATGAAACTTTCAGTCAGTATGGGAGGTGCTACGCCTCTTTTCCAAAAACGTCCATTTTTCTCCGTGAATATGAACATGATTTCACACAGTGTTGGAAAACTGTTAATCTGATTAACGATTAAAAATTAACTATTAAAATGTTAATCGCGTTTGATGATTAAAACTAATTAGTCGTTATCAACTGTACGATTAACGATAACATTTTTTGAATCGTTAATCGCTGGCTGCGATTACGTTTAATTAATTTAAAACATTAATCGTTAATCCAATTAAAAATAAAATCTGATTAATTTGTCTAGTTTGTCCGAGTTTGAAACCAAACACCAGTTATAGTAATTATTTTGTGTTTTACGGTCGAGCACACATTTAGTACATTCAAGGCTTTTCTTCGCGAAAATCGAATGAAAATGCTGCCAGAAAACTTCGAAATGCATCGTGTGGTTCAATGTTACTAGAACTATACAGATTAAAGTTTTATGATTTAGAAACTCGAAAGGATAAAATAGTCAAAGATTCAAAGTACAAATTTTCCATATAATGAAACTAGTTCATAGTTTTTCTCTTTTTACTTGTAATATAAACATTTCCAAAATAAATGTTTTTTTTTGATTGTTCTTCGTATTTTCTGTCTTTTTTTAGTGCCTTTTTCTGCCTTTTTCGCTATTTTGTTTTGCCTTTTTTTGCCTTTTTTGTAACACCTAGTGCCTTTTCCTGCCTTTTTCACTATTTTATTTTGCCTTTTTTATAGGTTTTTAGGTCCTAAAAATCCGTTCCCTGCATATCACTATACCAAGTTTCAGTTCTCTCCCACAAATACTTCCAGAGATATGTATGTAATATGAAAATTCCAATTTGTATGGGAGGGACCTTGAGTTATCGGACTTACTTTCAGTCTAAGACCATCCTTCCGAAATCCGAAGTAAGTGTACTAAATTTCGTTCTGATCGGAAAACCGGTTAAGGAAGTAGCCTGTTTTTCAATCCAGGTCATAAACCATCTTTGAGCAAAATTTCATTTTCAAACAGGTGGCAACTCTTAAAAAAAGTAGCCTACTTTCTAACCTAGGTCATAATCTATCTGTGTGCAAAATTTCATGCAAATCCGTTTAGTCGTTTCCGGTATTAATTTAATTAAACTTTTTTAACAGGTGGCAACTCTTCCCAAAAATTAGCCTATTTTCTACTGTGGGTCATAAGCTATCCGCTTGCAAAATTGCATGCAAATCCATTCAGTCGTTTCCGCGTATTAATTTAATGAAGCTTTTTTAACAGGTGGGAACTCTTAAGAAAAGTAGCCTATTTTCCACTGTAGGTCATAAGCTATCTGTGTGCGAATTTTCATGCAAATCCATTCAGTCGTTCCCGCATATTAAATAAATTAAACTTTTTTAACAGGTGGCAACTCTTAAAAAATAGCCTATTAACCAATCAGGGCCATATGCTATCTGCGTACAAAATTTCATGCAAATCCGTGCAGTCGTTTCCGCGTGATGATTTCCCAAACATCCAAACATACAAACTTTCACATTTATAATATTAGTAAGATGTTGATGGATATATGCCCTAAAAATTTGAAACAAATCAAACACATGAAGTCCATTTTGGTATGGAAAGCCCCATTTATATGTATGTACATATATGCATGTAATTGTTTATAACCATCTTGTTTTTATTACTAGATTACATAGCAAAATTTGGAAGAATGTCAGAAAGTTCTGCAAGAGCTAAATTTTGGCAGATTTTGTCGGCGGTAGAATATTGCCACAAGAAGAACATTGTACATAGAGATTTAAAGGTGAGTTAGGTTAAAATAAAAAGGAAATACCTTCTTGATCGCAATTCCTTTCATTAATGTTAAAAAATTTAATATAGGCTGAAAACCTTCTACTTGATATTAATATGAATATAAAAATTGCGGACTTCGGATTTTCGAACCATTTTAAAATTGGAGAGTTATTAGCAACTTGGTGTGGTTCCCCTCCGTATGCAGCGCCTGAAGTTTTTGAAGGAAAACAGTACACTGGACCAGAAATCGACATATGGGTACATAAAAAATGTTTTTAGCACTAACCTACATGCAAACATAAAATACATTTTGTATCCATCAATACAAAGGTCACAACACAGAAAAAGCTTTTAGGACTGTTCTAAAGATACCAATAAGTCTATCATTTATTAAGTTATGGCTGTGAATTTTAAAGGGCCTGCATTCGAGAGAATATGAAAAAACGAATTTTCAAACAAGTGTCATTAGGGCCCTTTGCAATGATGGTGATGATATGTATTTACAAAATTTATAATATTTTCATTTCAGTCCCTAGGTGTGGTTCTTTATGTACTTGTTTGTGGAGCGCTGCCGTTCGATGGATCTACTTTACAGAGCCTAAGAGATCGGGTACTTTCAGGAAGATTTAGAATCCCCTTTTTTATGTCTTCGGGTATTCGTATATTATAATTCAGTTTGTTGACATGTATTAAGAGGCTAAATATTTCAGAGTGTGAACATTTGATTCGCAGAATGCTAGTTCTAGATCCCCCTCGGCGATACACAATCGAACAAATAAAAAATCATCGCTGGGTTTGTGGAGAGGCCCGAGATGTTGGCGGCATGATACAATCCAATGCAAATATGGACGGAACGTCCAGCATAGAACCAAATGAGGACATACTAAGGATCATGTCAGAATTTGCTGGTATTCCCCCAGATAAGACTAAAACAAGTTTAAAAAAGAACAGCTATGATCACGTTGCAGCGATATATTTGTTGCTTCAAGATCGCGTTAATAGTAAGAAAAATTTTCAAGAATACTCAAAACGCCTAACTGAAAATACACTGCCAAGGGTTACATCAATTAATCCCGTTGGATATCATGGATCTTCAAAGTTACTACATAAATCCAGACCTACAATAGACAAACAACGAGTCAAGGAAACTTATACTTCGCCTAAAGAAAAGACAATATCACCACTGCCAAGTTTAGATGAGGTTAAATTTGGTAGCTTTCCAACAAAGTTTTCGCAAAAAATCCTTACCGATTGTGATAATCCGGAAGTCCAAGATAAGAGTAAGAACTTTAGTTCAACGACACTCAGAAGTTATGAGCATAAAGAAGCGCAAATAAGCCAATTAGTAAAAGGACGACCAGTGCCTACCAAGATGTCTCGGTTAAGTGAGCACAATATAAGTTCAAGTCAGCATCCGATGGCACCGTCATATTGCACAGACAATAATTTATCGAACGTAACTGAATATAGCCGTAAGGAGAGCGCATCTTTAGACAAGTCTTCAATTAGTTTGTTAGCTGTTACAAATGCCACCTGCGAAAGTTCATCCCATCCGCTACATCAGAATCTCAGAGAATGTATAATTAAACAAAGCACAGAGGATTGCCGCCTGCTTTTACAACAAGTAATTTTATATATTTTTTCTATTAATTTTATAAATCATTACCTTTTATAAAATATAACTCAAAATCCAAATTACGAATTCAAGTTACTACTTCGACGTGTCACGATCAATAACTTTCTTTCTAGTTGCAATACACTCACACTTTTGTACAACTTGACCATAAACCTGAGATCAATTTTTCCTTTCAAATCGTGTGGCAACTTGACGATCAGATCAAACAGCCCAACACACATTTAGGTTAGAGCTCAACTTGAGATTAAGGTGAGAACTAAGGTCTTTGTCAAATCTCCAACGTTGTTTCTCAACAGTACCCAAGTGGAGGATCATAGGCTGCGTTCGCACNATCTCCAACGTTGTTTCTCAACAGTACCCAAGTGGAGGATCATAGGCTGCGTTCGCTCAGTAAACATGTTTAGTAGCGCTTATATTGAGCGATTAGCTTCAATGGACGTACTGCTCAGTGCTGCCGCCGTCACTTCAATGGAATTTTTCACTTAATTGTGGAAGCCGTAGCTTCGTCCATCGTACAGTTCCATAAGTAACGTAACTCTTCTTCTTACCGTTTTTTCTGGCAGGCTGTAGGTATGTGTTTGGCAGCGTATTTTTTAACAAATTGTAATGGAAATGGAAGAAATTGTAAAAGATAAGAGCAAATGCAAAAAACAGGTGACCTCAGCTGTAGAAAGGGCGTGGCCAGGATCTGATGAAAGGAGGGAAGGGCAAAACGAAATATACTTGTTAATTTTTTTGATATATTTTTTATTTAATAATTTTTACGCTAATAAAAAACGTCTCGGATTTTCATCGGCATTGTTATAGCAGCAGACAATTGATACGCAGACTTTATTGTGGAAAAGTTTCCCTGAATTGACAACTTTTCTAATACTTGCACAACTTCAGACAAATTTTCTGAAAATTTCCTGATAGTCCTATATTTTTTCCGACCATCTTGTTACACACAAACGTGATATATTAGAAGCATAATTCTTGCCTGTCGTTGATTCGCAAAAAGTTTATCACATCTTTTAGGATAGAAATAGTATTTCTTATTTCTGGAACCTCGTTCAAGTCATTCACAACAAGATTTAACAGAAGAGAAAGTGATTTTTTCGTTGGGTTTTCCATCCCGTTCATCACAGAATGGTAAGAGAAACTCATATGGGTGTTTCATTCAATTCTGTACCAATTCAATGCTTAACGCTGTGCTTACTTTACTGTATCAACGATCAAAAACGCAGGCGTTATGTGGAAATTGATACAATTTTGTATTTTTTATTTATTGCTTTTTGAAAATTTCTCCTTCGTTCTGTAGCCGTAGGGAGAAGGCAGCTGCCCCTTCCCGGCTACGCCCTTGAGCTGTATGCATTTTTTGGCAATCAGCTGGTAGTGTTTTTACTTAGGAGCAGTGTTGCCAGAACTTTCTGGACCAACCGGCTAAATTGGCAAAAAACCAGCTAAAAACGGCTAAACTGTTTCAACTAAATTTCACATGTTTTATTTAAATAAATCATAAGTAGAAAGACTAGTTCTTGGAGAGAAATTGCAAATTTAAGCTGGAAAAAATTTTGGCGGCACGTATTTGGAATTAGGAAAAACATATGATTGTGGCACATGGTTGCATTTTTTGTCGACAATAATTTGAATAAACAGGTTCGTCAGATTTAAAAATTTACAAACTTCAGCGATTTTAAAATGAAAAATTTAAGTAAAGACTTGTTTACTTAATTAATTTAGTTAATTCCAATGATTTGAAACGTACTCGTAATCCAATCTCAATCAGAGTCGATATAGGAAACGCGACAGTTAGTACGGCAAAGAAATTGAAGCGTATGTTGAAGAAAGTCGGACTAGCAAGAAATATACATGTAGATCCTGTTTTTGTCCCTCTGAAAGAATTTTAAAATTCCATACAAATTTCTTATGTTTTAAATGCAACCGTGGACACTAGCTGGCAGAGAAACTTGCAAGTTCCTGCAAATTTGCGTTCGTGCAGAAATTTGCAAGTTTCTCTACTTGAGAGAGAATTCGGGAGCATTTTTTCTTACTAACTTTGAGTGATAATTTTCGCTGGATTTTCGATGAACAAACCTATTGTCTTCCTAGAGAGGTTTGCTTTACATAGAAATTTGTGCTCTTTTACTTTAATTTTTACACATTTCAATGTTGGTTCTTTTAATTCAAGTTGGCCTTCGGTTTTTGGAATTTAAATAAGTTCTCAGGAAAATGTTAGTTTAAATAAATCCATATGTGTACATAGTGCTTGAAAATATCCATTTTTCACTTACCTTAAACTTTAAGCGTGGGCAACAATGATGTTTTGCAATTAAGGCAGAATTGAATATGCGCTATCTGGGAAGACAATACCTGTAACATTTATTCTTGGCACTATATCCAAACACAAACGCGTGTTAAGCAAACAGTGAAACTATTTGTTATTTTCTAAGTTTGCGAATAAAACTTCACACTTAAATTTAAGTCATTGATAACAAACATTTTATGAAGAAAATCCCCGTTACGGCCTTCTTTAGAAAAAAAATATTCGTTTAAGATAAAAATAAGCGAAATCGGCCCAATTTTATATGACCCTGCCTCCGCGATAACGCTAGTAGCCATTTCTAACAGATTTTGGATCGCTTAATCAACATACATATATATTTGAACTTTAAGAAAACTAGGTAAATATCAAAATCGGCTAAAAACGGCTAATTTTTTTACAAAACGGCTAACAAATCGGCTTCCGGCTAAACTGAAATTTCTCCGGCTGTTTGCTATCACTGCTTAGGAGACTGTACGACGGCTTCGGCACTTCATTTTACTTCACTTTATACAAATTAATTTTATCAAAAAAAAAAACAATCGTAACAAAAAACGATTTATTTAACTAATCTGGTGTTTATAATACGCCCAGAAGTATTCCCGCCGCTTCTAGCATAAAAATATGGCGGTACGCCGAAGGATCTGCCGGTGGTTTTCCTGCTTTTGGTAGGAGGAATAATCGCTGCCGCTTCCATGTATCGGGGAACACCCCTTCTGAAAGGCATGTGTTAGAGGTATTGATGAAGACTTCGGGACTTTTATATTGATTTCAGTACTTCGTTTGGAATGTTGTCAGGGCCTGGTGATTAACGATCATTAAACCCACTTGCAGCAATTATCACCTCTTCCGCTGTGACAACCGCGAAGATGCAGGCTCTTCTTGAAAATAATTCTCTATTAAAGGCTGGTATTACCGGAAATAGCGTTTTCACGATTTCGTCAATCTTTTTGGGGCACGATATTTGTGGTCGCACTGATGCTTGTAGCTTTTTTGTGACCACCTTATACCCCTATGCCCAAGGATCTTCCTCTACAGTGTTACATAGACTATGAAAACATTTTTTACTAGTTTTGATGGCTTCTTTGAGCTCCTTATGCTACTTTTGTACAGTGTTTGTTGGGTGACTATTGCCGACTTACTCTGACTCCCTGGTAGTTTCTCCTCGCCTTGTCGTAATGGCGGCGCAGCTCTACTATGTGCTTGTTCCACCAATACACTGGGGAGCGCCTATGGTTAGAAGATTTTCTTTTCATTGCAGCATCGAAAGCAGTTGTTTTGCCGGCTATTAAATGGTTTGCCATATTTGTAGCCCCTTCTGGTAGTACAATATTGGATTCCATAAACAAGAGCGCTCTCTCGTCCAATGTGTTTAGCTTCCATCCTATTGCCTTAACCCTAGTATTTCGTTGGCTTTTCCTCTCCTCGTTTATGGAGAAGATAATCGCCTGGTGGTCGCTGTGGGTATGTTCGTCACTAACTTACCAAGAGGCACGCTGGATAAAGCTGGTGCTCGCGAAGGTTAGATTGATAATTGACCGCATACCATCCTTACGGAAGGTGAATTTTCCTCCGATGTTTAGCAGCGCAACATCTAGAGATGCTAATATTGTGAGTAGCGCTCTGCCTTTGGCATTTGTCTTGCGGCTTTCTGGCACAACTCCATACTGCAGATCGTGCGGTGTTATCCTTGTAGTTGAGATTCTGGTGCTTTATATGGCTCACTTAGCAGCACTATATCTATACTTTTACCTTATAGTGGGGGTAGATTTAACTGTAGTAGTTTCATATTTTTAACTTTTGCATATCTTCTTTATAGAAAGGGCATTCCTTGCCACCCGTTTTATGTTTTGTTTCGGTCCGCTTTCTTTAGAGCATGTAATACAACTCTATTCCTTTTTGCAGTCTCGGAATTTATGGTCTAGGCCTTCACAACTAAAGCACGTACCTTTGACGTCGTGCATCACTGTGCAGTTCCTGGCCAGGTGGCCAAACTCCAGGCATTTGTAACACAGCTTGAGTTGCATATTGGCAGGTACTCGACAGATTACCCACCCAACTCGAATCTTGCCTTTAGATAGTAACTCCTTCGCCAGCTTTACCGGTATCAGTAGAGTGCCCGTTTTGGTCCCATTATGGGCTTTTCCCAAGGATTTTATTGCTTCCTCCGAGATTTTAATTCCATCCAGTTGACTCTCGAGAGCCTGACGAGTCTCTTGTTTTGTTGCTAGCTTCTCCGAGGTTTCTCCGAACATTTTCTTAACAGCTTGTTGAATCTCCTTAGTTTTACGGTCGGTCGGTATTGTCAACTGAAGAAGAAGATCCCCGTTAGCTGTCTTGCGAATCTTCGTGACGACTTCTCCAACATGTTTCAATTGTGGCTCCGTGTTTACAGTTTTTAGCACCTCGGCATACGAGTTCCCTTCGCAGCTTATTATCAATGCATCGGGTCGAGGGAGCTTTGGCTTTGGTGCCTTTCTCCGTTGCACTTTTTTCCACTGATTGGCCTCATCGGTATGTTCTCTGTTCGTAAACTCTTCATTTGATTTCGTGGGCTCCTTAGGTTTTCCGGTTGTTTACAGATCTTCCTGGCTGGTTTTGTTTGCTGCTTGAGTTAGGTAGCTTTATGTCTAGCTCTTCTCTGTCTGTCGCCCGCCAGGCGACCAAGTTACACTCATTTCAATTG